CCTTCCCTCCCTTCCTTTTACACAACACACTGTGAGATTGTCACTCTCTCTTTCGCTCCCTCCCTCCTCTCACACAACACACTCTAAAAAAATGTCCTTCCCTCCCTCCCTCCCTCCCTTTGAAGGACAGGGTCTCAGGCTGGAGTCCCAGTCTTTTGATGACTGGTCAGTCTTCCATGTTCCCTCATCTGCACAAAGTAGAGACTAACACATCGTCAGAGCAGGACGCAGACTGCGGAGGAAGAGTGAAAGAAGTTGCCTTTGGCTTTTAATCTAGGTTGTGCTGGTTCACACATCTCGGGTCTGGTGGGGCTGATACTGGGGCCCAGGCTAAAGATGAAATAGTGGAGACCAGGTCTCCTCCAACACAGAAGACTTGTTTTATTTCGCCAGCAGGATCTGACTTCTCTTCTTGCTCTGGGAAGGGTGAAAGACTTTGCAGAGAAGCCCTATCACGACCAATGCAGAGCCCATGAGCAGCATCAGTTTCAAGCCTTCGAGAACCGAATCTGCCTTCCCGAGCGGGGCTCTGATCTTCCCTGGCTGCCACCTCTGGGTCTCGGGTCTTTTCTTAACCTCCAGCATCTCCACAGGAGTAGGGTTGAACTGGGCCACGAGTTCCTGATCCACAAAGCATCTGTACGTGGCTGGCTGGAAGATCTGCAGCTGTTGGCCACCTTTTAACAGGTCCATGAAGGTGCTGAGATCCCTGCTGGACAGCTGGCCCTCCCAAGTCAGAGGGGTGTTGTTGGCTTCCCATTGGACGGGCCTGGACGGGAGAACACAAGGGTCAAGCCCAGAGAGAAAGAAGACTGAAGGGAGCTGGAAACAACAGCCCATCCTCCATCCATGGAGCACTGTAAAATAGTTACCAGAGGGGTCACCGCATAGGTGCATTTCCCTGAGACCCACCCCTGAGCCAAGGCTGCCCACCGCTTGACCAACCATTTCTTCCTCATCTGAGAATGGGAGTGTAGTGGTACCTGCCTCATTTGGTTATTTGAAGGAATGAGGAAGACTGTGCCCAGCCTTCTATCGGCCTCGCCTCTTCTCAACCACCTCCACTTATGGTACCCAGCCACACTGGTGTGTTAAGGCAGTCCTCAGCCATGATGCCTCAGAGTCTCAGTCCTGGCTGTCCCTTCTGACTGGAACATTGTTTCTCAAACCACAGGGTTCCCTTACCTACTTTTGGTTTTGGTAGAAATGACCCTTTCTCAGAAAGGCATTTTCTGACTCCCTATTTATAATTTTAATCTCTTCTACTGCCATTATCTCTTAGCATCATCTAAAATACTATGTTCAGATGGAGTGGCACCCTCCAGTGATGCTAGCACTCAGAAGGCTAAAGTAGAGGGTAATGAGTTTGAGGCCAGCCTGGGCTACAGAGTGAGCCCCTATCTCAAAAAGAAAAATCATTACTTAAAAACACCACATCAGCCAGGTGTGGTGGTGCACGCCTTTAGTCCCAGCTCTCGGGAGGCAGAGGCAGGTGGATCTCTGTGAGGTCGAGGCCAGCCTGGTCTACATAGTGAGTTCCAGGCCAGTTGGGGCTACAGGGGGACCCTGTCTTAAAGAGAAAAAAAAAAAGTCAGGGCTAGAGAGAGGGCTCAGCAGTTAAGAGCAGTGGCTGCTCTTTCAGAAGATCCGAGTTTGGTACCCACATGGCAGCTACCAACCATTTTTAAGTCCAGTTCCAGGGATGCAACACCCTTTTCTGGCTTCCCCAGGCATGGTATACTTGGGTACATCTACATACAGGCAAAACACTTATACACATAAAGTAAAAATTTTGAATTAAAAAAAGAGAAACTAGCAAGTGTTTAATTAAACAAGTGTTTAATTCCAGCCCTTGAAAGGCAGAGGCAGGCAGATCTCTGTGAGTTCGAGGAGGCCAGCCTGGTTTACATAGCAAGTTCTAGGCCAGCAAGTACTGAGAAAATGGATTAATCAAGTCCAGGAGCTGAAAGTGACTAGAAAACTCAGGGGATCCTGAGCAGACAATATTGTAGCAAGGTGTCAATAGGGTAGAACTATTTGTCAGACAAGATCCTGTGGTCATTAGCCCTCTCAAACATCACAATTAGTCCACGAAGCCTGGGCTAGCCAGATCTCTGTCTTGAGCTGGACCATGTCCACCCAAAATCTATGCATTTCCCAGAACCTCAGAATGGAACCTTATTTGGAAATTGGGTTATTTTTGATGCAGTAAGGTGAAGATGACATCATATTGGGGTAGGGTGGCCTCAAGATCCAATATCAGGATGAAGGCCAAGAAATGATGGAGACAGGGATGGGAGGGATGTGGCTACAAAGCCAAGGAATGCCAGCGGGTCTCTGGCTCCCACAGAAGTTAGGAGAAAGGAGAGAGGAATGCTACGAAACAGCTGAGAGGGGGTGCAGCTCCCCCTGACAGCTTCAGCTCTGACTTCCAGCCTCTAGAGTGATGAGAGAATACAGTTCTACTATTTGATTTAAACCACCCAGTCTGTGGTACTTTGCACTGGCAGCCCTGGGAAATGAATACCCCACCCCTCCCAGCCCCCGTGTTGGACTTCTTAATTCCTGTGACAAAATACCTGTCAAAACAAATTAAGGAAGAAAGGAATTCTTTTGGCTTGTGGCTTTAGAAGTTTCAGTCCATCCATTGCTTTGGGCCCAAGACAAGAATCACGGCAGTGGGGGCAGGTAATGGAGGAAGCTGCTTACCTCATGATGCCAGGAAACAAAGAGAAATGGGAAGAGGGTGGAGATAAGTATATCTTTCCAAGGCACACCCCAGAGGCCTACTTCCCCCTCCTAGACCAACTTTTTTATTTTATGTGTGTGTGTTATGCCTGCATGTATTTAAGAGTGCCACATGCATGCAATGCCCATGGAGGCCAGAAGAAGTCATTGGATCGCCTGGAACTGGAGTTAAGGATGGTTGTTAGTCACCATGTAAGTGCTGGGAACTGAACCCAGGTCGTCTGCAAGAGCAGCCAGTGTTCTTAACCACTGAGCCATCTCTCCAGTCCTACTGTTTGTATTTTCCACTGTCTGCCCACTCCATTCTTGGAGGAGGGTGGGATAAGAACAAGGCTGGAGATAGGAGATGGTCTCCACTGACTACTTTACTACCTACTGAATCCCTCCATGGTCTTTATAGTTCAAGCATCACTCAAAAGCTCAAGTTCAAAATGTCTTTTGACACTTGAGGTGGACTCTTAGCTGTGAGCTTTTGCAGGGGTGGGGGGGGTGGTAGTCATATCCTTCCTACTGAACAGTGGCACAGAGTAAACATTTCCATTCCTCAATTAAAGAATCGAGTCTGAGAAAGGAAGCACAGGGCCAAAGCATGACCCAAACCAGCAGGACAAACATTAAATCCTGCAGCTCCACGTCCAGCATCTATGGCAGGTGGCAATATGATGGAGCTCCCATGGGCCCAGGACGTCCCATCCCTATGGCTTTATAACTGCAGCCCACATGGCTTGAACGTTCCATGCGCCCAGCAGCTCCTATTTCCTGGGCCCTCCACCCCATCGTTGGTTTCACTGTCTCCATTCATTCTTCTTTCAGAGGCTTCCAGAAGCGATCCTGACTGTGCCACACATTGCCTGGTCTCCCAAGCCTCTTTAGCAATCTAGAAGCTTCGTGACTCTAACTCTTACATTCTTTCTGCCTGCAATCAGCATGATGTGGAGGATGGGAGAGTCTGTTGATAATAGAATGGTTAGCAGGATCCCTTTGGACAGCAGTCACTGAGTGCTGTCTTCTTGGACAACTGAGCACAGTTAAATGAATCCTAGGAAACAACTTCCCAGGCAGTCCTCTGCATGTGGAACGACATGACTCCCTTTCCCAAGGAAAAGCCTTCAAGTTTTTACTTTTCTTCTCTAGGGACTGCAATTGGTAGGTTTTGACCAATTCCCAAGCGACCCTCCTGGTATGTTTCCTACTGCCTCAGTGTGAAATACTTCATTTCTTTGGAATGGTGTTAATTTCTTCAGAATCTATGCTTTCCTCAACCCCAAACTTTAAACAAGTTTTTCTTATCAATGCAAGTTTTTTTTCCCCCCAATCTTTCCTCTGCCTTATGCTCCTAGCTCTCCCTGTAAATCTGGCTAAAAGCAGCCGGCACAACACACAGCACACAGCAGCCTGAATACCGGACTCTCTTAAAATTTCCTGCTAGATTAAACTATCACCTTTGAACTCAGCATTGTTCCAAGTCTTAGGGCCTAGACAAAAGGTAGACAAATTCCTTATCAGAATGTTATGACCTGTAATCTCACTTCTGATAGAATCCTCATTTCTATCTGAAACCCCATAAGCACAGTTTTTATTGTCCTAAATGCCAGAAGACAGGGGCACAGACCACCTATTACCCACCTCTCATCTTCCTTTACTGGCTCCTGCTTGTAAAATTGTCAGGAGTCCAATTTTATAGCTGTGTCAGGGTGCCAGCTGGTCCTTGATTGGCTGAATATTGGTATGCAAATAAGGGAAAAAATGGGGCCAATCAGGGAAGAGCTGTCAACTTAGGACAACTCCGGGGCCCCTATCCTCTCCTCCAGGGTGATGACCCTTTCAGATGTATTAAGGACAGCTCAGAATTCCCCAGCTTCTTGGGTATTCTGTCACAACCTAATCAATATTCTGGTCTTCTGAGCTCCCAGTTAAGCTCTGCTTACAGTGTATTCTTTAACCTACTTCTCCAAACGTCTCCCACAAACTAGCTCCAAAAGCTTCTGAACTCCATTGTTATAGATCAGAGTTCATACAAAATCACCAGCACCACTTTAAGAAAAGCAGCAAGGTAAATGTTTATTATTTCGACCAGCCAGGCTGTCTATCTCAGGAGTAGACGCAGCCCTGATCATTGTCGGGTCAGAGTTTTTATAGGATTACAGAAATATTATTCAAACAGGAACTTGTGAACCAATCAGGTTTGTACAACATAGCAGAACTTTGAATCTATTAATCAACAACCAATCATTACACAGTCATATCACTTGTCAATCAACTTTGTAATTTTAAAATCAGTCAACTCCCTAGCCAAACAAGTATAGTAAGAAAGCTAAAATCAGCAGTTACTGGGTGGTCATACAATAACAGGGTGGTCTTATACTTTGTGTCAGGGTGACCTAAAATAGCAAGGGGGTTACAGAAGCAAAAATAAGCAGTTAGCCAGATGTAGAATGTCTGAGATTAGCACGTTCCACTGGTTTGTGGTTGAGCCATTTCTTAGAACTCAAGGCTGTTTTCTCCTTTTAAATATTTCCCATAAGTGGGAAAGAGGTTACTGTTAAAATAGCTATTCTGAGCATGATGGAGTAACTTAGGTTAAGTTGCTAATATAGTTCATTCATTGTCAGATAACATCATAGCAAAACCCTATTCCTGGTACCAATTTCCCATATTAGTCATTTTCACTTTACTGCAACAAGCTACCTAAGAAAACAAAGGGCAGGGGGATTCATTTTGGCTCATGGTTTCAGAGGTGACAGTGTGGGACCAGCTAGCTCCATTATTTCTGGGCCTGTGACGAGGCAAAGAACACCTTGGTGGAAGGGCCATCATGGAGCAGAGCTGCTCACCTCGTGGCATTCAGGAAAAACAGAGACAGAGAGGCATCTGAGTTGAAATAGAGCCCCCAAAGGCATATCCCTGAGTACCTACTTCCTCCAACTAGGTTCCCACTTCAAGTCTCCACTACCTTTCAGTAGTGTCATCAAACTAAGAATATATCAGTACAGGAATGTACTGATGAGGGAGGAGACGTCATGATCCAATAGCACCACCAGCTAGCATCCAAGCCCGCAATTCACGAACCTTTGTGTGCATGGGGGAGGGGCATTTCCTACCCAAACTGTAACAACTCCCTTGGATGGATGAGAAAATTGAAGGTTCAAGGTCACACTGCTGGAAAGTGGTAGGGTTGGGGCTTGGTATATGAAGTCTGGCTGAATCCAGAGTCCAAAACCTCACAAGAAATGCCATTCCTCTATGGAGCTTAGAAAACAAACAAGGGCACCACTTGGTCCCCCTGTGATTGCCCTCCATATTTTCATTCTCTCTCCCTCCCTCTTTCTCTCTGCCCCCCCATCTCTGAAAGAGAAAGATATCACACAAAGTTGCACACAGAGGCATGAAGTTTCGCACTATTACTTTCCAACCTATTCCTTGGAGACTGAGCCTGAAGCTGGGAGCCAAGCAAGTCCCCCAAGTCCCCATCTCCACCTCTACCCCACAACACTGAGCATGCACTCAGCCACTCCTGGCTTTTGGTGGAGGTGCTGGGGTCTGAACTCAGGTCCAGCAAACACTCTTACCCACTGAACCATCTCTCCGGCCCCCTGCCCTCTGTTCTTATCTCTGATACCTAGTGACCTTCACTGAAGAGCTCCATGTGTGGCAAGTGACACAGAGTAGATGTCCACATTAGAGGTGGGAGAAGGGTTCATTCACACTTTGTTCCTGTACTTACTGTGCTGCTCCGAGGGAGCATATTGCTTTGATATTTAAAGGAAGGAGATACCAAAAAAGTGGAGTGTTTATGAGAGAGAGAGAGAGAGAGAGAGAGAGAGAGAGAGAGAGAGAGACTGATTTTAAAGAGAAAGAAGAGGAGAAGGAAGAGGAAGGAGAGAGGAGAAATTGTTGCTACAATTGCAATATACAAGGAAAAGCAAATAAAGGCTCCATGGCTCTACCTTATCAATCTCATATGAGAGGGACCCTGTCCTAGTTAGCTTTTTTTTTGGCCTGGAACTCACTATGTAGATCAGGCTGGCCTTGAACTCACAGAGATCCACCTGCCTCTGCTTCCCAAGTGCTGGGACTACAGGCGTGCGCCACCATGCCCAGCTTGTCCTAGTTAGCTTTAATTGTCAACTGGACACAACTTAGAGTCACCTGAGAAAGGAGTCACAACTAAAGAATTGTTCAGATCAGACTGGCCTGAGGGCATGTCTGTGGGGAATTGTCTTGATTGCTAATTGAAATAGGAGGGCACAGCCCACTGTGGGAAGCACCATTCCCTAGGCAGGTGGTCCTGAGCTGCATAAGAAAGCTTGCAAGCAGAAGCCTGTGGGTGAGCCAGCAAGCAGTGTTCCTCCATGGTTTCCACTTAAGTTCCTGCCCTGACTTCTGTCAATGATGAAGCCTAAGGTGAATCACACAAGCAATGAAAGGGGCCAATATTAGCAACCCAGCAGGTTTTATCTTACTGGGCATCTCACAGCTAGAGATGACTTTTCTTGTGGCCATCTCTGTCACCTACATTCTGACAACAGCAGGGAACACAGCAACTATACTTGTGTTATTACTGAACCCCCAAACTCTACACACTCATGTCCTCCTTCCTCTCCAAGCTCTCCTTCCTGGACCCTGTTTTCACTATGAGCACCATCTTCCAGATGCTCTAGAATCCCGAGGGCCTAGTTGCTAGCTGGGTGACCCAGCTTTTACACAGGCTCCACACTGTGTCCTGCTGACAGCTATAACCTACCACTGCTTTGATGCCATCTGCTGACACCTGCACTATGGGGTCATTATGCATCCAGAGGTCCCCTGGCAGGTGGCTGCCATGGCTTGGATCAGTAGTTTTTGGAGTCTACAGTTTAGACCACCTTGATTTTTCAATTGTCTCTCTGTAGCCACTACAGGATGGATGGTTTTGTGTGAGAGAAGACTGTCCTGCTTAAAATTGCTAGAGTGGGATACAACCTTCCTAGAAAAATAAACTCTCTAGGTCTCTTCTGCCTGCATCATTAGGTGTGTGCTGAGGGTAAAGTCCACAGAGAATACAAGGAAAGCATTTAGCACCTGTGTGGTCTCACTTTGATCATTGTGGTTTTGTTTGGGGGAAACATAGTATCTGTCTACATTCAACCCAAGAACATGTATGCACAGAATCACAGAAAACACCACACCCTTTTCTATATTGGAGTGACATCCTCACTTCATGCTTTGATCTATACCTTGGGAAACAAAGAAGTTAAACAGGCAAGAAAAACATTGGTGGTGGCCACTGGGCACAGTAAAACATGTGTTTAGTCTCAGCGCTTGGGAGGCAGAAGGAGGCAAATCTCTGTGAAATTGAGGCCAGCCTGATCTACGTAATGAGTTCCAGGCTAGCTGGGGCTACAGAGAGACACTATCTCAAAAACAATACAAAATAAAAACCCGGGCTAAGGGCCAGAGGTAGGGCTGGTGACAGGGTGCCATCACCTGTAGATGGATGCCAAGGGGCAGCTGAGCCATGCAGATTCTGACTCCTCCATGAGCCTGAAGTTGTCAAAGACGACATAATCCCCAGTGAACCAATAGCTGTCTTCACACTGCACGTGGCAGGCTTCCACCTGCACCTCAGGCCGGGCTCGGACTAACCACATCCTCAGCTTCCCCAGGTAGAGCCCACAGGGGATGGGGTCCTTCAACGGTTCCTTAATATAGCAGAAGCCCAGGCGTTTCCTCTCACCCGGCTTCCCACAACGGTTGCATCTCTGCCAGGGCTCCCACTGAGTGTAGACCAGCTCCATGTTCCCCAGGTTCAGCGTACTGTTTGGCAGGGGGCTCTGACCCAGGCCTTTGTGTGTGACATGCAGCTTGTTGGCATCTTGGAAATCAATCTCATATTGGGCCACTTGGGTACCGTTCTTGGCCTGGCACAGGTAAAGGCCTGTGTTGTAAGGTGACGGGTTTCTGATAGCAAGTTCACCCTCAGGCCTCATTTCTACATTGGAAACACTGGATAGGTTGACGAGATGGCCATCTTTGGATAATCCAGAGTAGGACCAGTGTGCCTTGGAGACACTGCATGACAAGAGCACATCGCTGGAGTCTGAGAGGAGGGCCCGCTGACATTTCTCAGCCTGGGGACAGCTGACAGGAATGTGGAAGCCCAGCGCTGGGAGAGTGAAGCCAAGAAGCAGCCACAGGATGGGGAACATGATGGACTGGGATGGTAGCTGTGGGCCAGCTGCCACACTGGACATTGTGAGCTCACCCATTAAGTCTCTGCCTCAAGCAGTGAGGTGAGCAGAGGGGCTATGAGGTCACCACTTCCTTTTGTTGTTTTTTTAAAAAAAGTATTTTATTTCATGTATACGAATGTATTGCCTACATGTATGTTTAAGTGCACCTGTGTCATGCAATGCCCACAGAGGTCAGAAGAGCAAGTCGGATCCTCTGGAACTGGAGTTACACATGGCTGTTAGCCACCATGTGGAGCTGGGAATTGAACCCCAGTCCTCTGCAAGGGTAGCCAGTGATCTTAACCACTGAGCCATCTCTCCAACTCCACCACCACCCCTTTGAGACAAGCAGAGAGCCCCATCTAATTTCCATTCGGAGACGTCTGCTTTCCTGGGATATGAGGAACCTTGATCTGGTCTAGCCAGGATTTTTCTCTACCACCTGCTTTCCATTCTAGAAACGTTGGCCTCCATCCCATTTTCCTGAACACGTCAGCCAAGCAAGGAAATTCCTGCCTCAGGACCTTTTACATATGCTGGTCCCTGGTTTTCCCTGCTGGATATCTGCAAAATTCAATTCATCTTAAGTGATTAAATTTGTGTGCATGTGTGTGCGTGTGTGTGTGTGTGTGTGTGTGTGTGTGTGTTTACAGGCAGGTATGCAGCATCACTTGTGCATAGGTAGAGGTCAGAGGACAATTTGTGGGAGTCATTTCTCTCCTTCGCCATGTGGGTACCAGGGATTGAATTCAGGTCATCAGACTTGGCAGGAAGGGCCTTTAACTTCTGTACCATCTGCTGGCCCTGCTTTTGTTTTTGAAACTAGGCCTCTCTGTGTAGATCTGGCAGGGCTGGAACTCGCTATGTAAACCAGGCTGGCCTCAAGCTTTTGGCATCCTGGATCTCTACCTCCCGAATACTAGGACTACAAGTGTATGCCACCACCTCTGGCCTAAAGCCACATTATTAAACATAGTACCTTATTTAGGATGGGAGAGATGGCTAAGCAAGTAAGAGTATGTGCCATCAAGTCGGATGGCCTGAATTCAATCCCCAGAACACATATGGTGGAAGGAGAGAACTGACTCCCACAAGTTGTTCTCCGATTGCCACATGTATGCCATGCCATGCACATGCACAATAAATAAATGTAAAAAAAATAAACACATTATTTAATCCACAATTTAGTATTGTTGATTCATTACTATTGAGCTCATGTGGAACTGCAAATAATCCACACCTGAACAAAGCTTATCCAACACGTGTATTCCATTAAACACAAACAACCCAACTTTCCTGCACTTAGGAACACAAGGATGCTACATCAGCTGTCTACATGGGAGCCATTTTGAGCCATTTCAAGCAGTAAAGTCAGTAACAAACAGCAAAGAACAGATCCTAAAGAGGTGCTTGTTAGCAGTATGAGGGCTTGAAAGAGATGTCTGCTTCCACCTCCGCTAGTAACATGTGTTTTGGGAAGCTGATTTCTCATTCTTGGACAAACCTTGCATTGACAAGGAACACCCTGTGGGTCTGGATTCTGGAGATACAAAGGCTGACTCCACAGTGAACAAGCCGCTTTAATGATAAATTCTCAAGAGAAAAGAGCAGGGGAAGAGGGATGGAAAACCTGAGTGACTGCTGGGCATGGTGGCACACATTGTAATGCCAGTGGTTAGAGCTAGAAGCAGGAGGATCTGGAGCTCAAGACCAGCCTGGGCTATATAGGAGACCCTACCTCAATAAAACCCCAAGGGGGCTGGAGATATGGCTCAGTGGTTAAAAGTGAGTACTGCTTTTGTAGAGGACTTGAGTTTGGTCCTGTGCTGGGTAGTTCAGAATTGCCCATAACTTCAGTTACAGAGGATGCAATGCCCTCTTCTGGCGTGTGAGGGTATTGCCCACATGGGTGCACATACATACATGCAGGCAGAACACTCATACACATAAAAATAAACAACTCAATAGAATAATTTTTTTTTTTGTTTTTTTTTTTGAGACAGGGTCTCCCTGTAGCCCCAGCTGTCCTGGAACTCACTATGTAGACCAGGCTGGTCTCGAACTCACAGAGATCCGCCTGCCCCAATTGCTGGGATTAAAGGCATGTGTGACCATGCCTGGCAGTAAAATAAATCTTTAAAATAACACCACAAGTTCAGGAACAAAGCTCAGTGGCAGAGCATTTGCCTAACATGTGCAAGGTCCTGGCTTCTATTCTGAGCACCACAAAAGTTTGTAGAGTTTAAAATAGATGTAAAGGGGGGGGCTGGACTTAGACTGCTCTTGAAGAGGAACTGAGTCTGGTTCCTAGCACCCACTTGGGGGCTCACAACCATCCATAATTCCAGTTCCAGGGGATTTGATGCCCTTTTCTGGACTTTGTGGACATTTCACACATGGGTGCACTTACATACATGCAGGTGAAACACTCATAAATAAATAAATAAATAAATAAATAAATAAATAAATAAATAAATAAATAATAAATGCAAAATGAAAACACCCAAGTGCCATGACTAAAAGGAGAAAAACTGGGGCTGAAAGGCATAAGGCATTGCTTAGGAAATAGAACAAATACAGATTTGTGTTATACTCTAATGAGTGAAGAATTAACATTGAATTCCTTGAGTAAATATCAAGTTAATGCATATCTTATAAGATAAAAGAGAAGGGAATGGACTGATAATAACAAATATTTAATAACTCCAAAAGAAAGAAAGAATAAGAAAGAGCACCAGGGAGGCCCCAGAGGCCCCCAAACAAGAGGCTATTGCCACTGCTCTTGGTTACTCACCATAACCAGATGGTCAGGCCCTATTGCTGAAGACACCACACACTTTGGTTGCAGGACATAAATCAAGCTGGAACTGACCAGCTTTCACAGTGCTGGAAGGTGCTAGGCAGGCTGCTGGGGGAGAAAAGATATCAAGGATATTACCCAGTGGTGAACACTGAATGCTACTATATCTGCCTGCTAGGCAAGATGTGCCAGTGGTGCAAGACTGGCATGAAGATTATGGAGGCAACCAACTGACTTCTGACTGGATTTGAGACCTGCTCCACAGGAGGGAATTCATGCCTGTTACCATAAATTTTGGCAGAAGCCCATGACTGGGAGGTCATAGACCTTAGGAGAGGAACCTATTACTCTTGTTTTACTAAATGGACATGTTGTCAAACTGCCTTCTAAATACGTGTTTATACTCATAGTGCTGCTCTCAACTGTGGACAGAGAAACTTTGTCTAGTGGGCATCAGTTAATGCGGAGACATAACTGGTCAAAGTGCTGAGAATATGTGACTATTGAGTGTCTAGTCCTCAATGGGACATCCATATCAAACCCCTTCTCCCAGGGTGCAGTCACCATCAGCAGCGGCTGCTCCTTCCTCCTTTCTTGTGGGTGCCACTCCTTCGTTTTCACAGGCGTCGAGGCTGCTCCTCTGCTCGCCCTGGGCTGAGGCCACTCTTCTGCTCGCCTGGTGCTGAGGCAGCTCTTCTGCTTGCCCTATGCTGCCTCCTGTCATCGCCGCTTCTTGCCCGGTCCCAGACCCCAGGGCTGGTGAGGAGACTGTGTCAGCGGAGCCGCATTCAGACACAGGAGACCAGGTTCAGTGACACAGGTCCACTTTATTGCAGGAAGGCACAAGCTTATATAGGGGTAGTGGTCCAATCACTGCACAGCAAGTAGGATACCTCATTAGCATAACAGGTTTAGTGTCCTATCACAGTACAGCAACTAGGATACCTCATTAGCATAACAGACTTAGCGTCCTATTAGCATAACAGACTTAACGTCCTATCACAGAATAGAGGGTAGGATGCCTCATTAACATACTGGGTTTCAGATTACAGAGTCTGGATACCTGGAAACCATGTGACCCTGACAGTTGCAATATCACCCTAGGCTCAAGCTTGTCTCCCACACCAGGGCTCAAGGAACATAGTGGAAGAGGAGGTAAAAAGACTGTAAGAGCCAGAGGACAGGGAGGAATACTGTGAAATGCTTCTGGACATGACTTGGCCAATAGACTCATGGCCTCACTGCAGCTATGGCTACCTCAGCAAGACCTACACAAGGCCAAGCCAACAAAATCAGTCAGTATTCCAGCAGACCACAGTAACTGGACTCACTGGGTTATAAAAATAAATAAATAAAAGCCAGGTGTGGTGATACACTCTTTTAGTACCAGGACTTGAGGAGCAGATGTAGGCAGATCTCTGTGAGATCAAGGTCAGCCTGGTTACATAGCAAGTTTCAGGTAAGATGGATTACAGGATATATATATATATATATCTCAATGAATAAGTAAATAAATAGGAGTGGATATAGTGGATATGAGATGAGGGGGAAGGGGCACTAGGAGATGTTAAGGGAAGGAAGGGGAGAGTTAGGGTAGATAGAATCAAGATACATTGTATATGTGAGTACATGAGTGAAATTGTCAAATAAAAGATACTAAGAAAAGGAAAACAGAGAACACAGCCAAAGCCAAGTATGAAAATGCCATACTGAAACCTACTACTTTGTGAGTTAAACAAGTAAAATAAAACACAGAGGAATAGATAGACGTAGAAAAAAAACACGATGATAGTTAACCCCAATATATTAGTCATTATCTTAAATACAAATGAACTAAACATTTCGATGAAAATATCAAGATGTTCATACTTGATAATAAAAGAAAACGTGGCCAGGCATGGTGGCACACACCTTTAATACCAGCACTTGGGAGGCAGATTGGGGCCAGCCTGGTCTCCACAGCAAGTTCCAGGTCAGCTGTGGCTACAGGGAGACCCTGTCTCAAAAAAGACCAAAAAAACCCCAAAGTGAAAATATACTGCTTAAAATGTTTATTTGTTTATTTAGGAAAGCTGAGGATTGAACCCAGGACCTTTTATCTGCCTTGAAAGTACTCTCCCACTGAGCCTGATCCCCAGACCTAGACTATGTTAAATAATGGAATGTAGAAAAGTTGAAAGTGGGCTGGAGAGATGGCTCAGTGGATTAAGCACTTGCTATGCTTGCTATGCAAGCATGAGGGCTGGAGGTCGGATCCCTAGAACCCATGTAAAAGCCATGGCTGCTGTCTGTGATTCCCACACTCAGGAAGCAGAAATGGGGGTCCCCAGGACAAGCTGACTAGTTAGACTAGAGCTTTGGGTTCAACTGAGAGACCTGCCTTGATAACGTAGAGAGCGACTGAAGACAATACCTGATGTCAAATTTGAACGTCCACCATGTACAGGCACACACAGAAGTAAGTGTGTGTGTGTGTGTGTGTGTGTGTGTGTGTGTGTGTGTGTATGCCAAAACAACAAAAAAAGCTGAAAGTGAAAATGGGAAAATGATACTAACCAACAGAAAACTGGTGTAGTAACTATATCAGTAACAAAAAATAGACATAAATATTAAAAGCATGGGGGCTAGAGAGATGGCTCAGTGGTTAAGAGTGATGCTGCTCTTTCACAGGACCAGAGTTTGGGACCAGCATCCATGTCAGGTAGCTCACAACTGCCTGTGACTTCAATGCCATTCAAATGCCAGAGGATCAGACACCCTCTTCTGGCCTCCATGGGTACTGCACTTATGTACACACACACACACACACACACACACACACACACACACCACCGCACACTCAAAAGTATAGTTAATTTTTTTTTTTTTTTTTAGGTCTTTTTGAGACAGGATCTCCCTGTAGCTGGCCTGGAACTCACTATGTAGACTAGGCTAGCCTTGAACTTACAGAGATCCGCCTGCTTCTGCCTCCCAACTGCTGGGATTTAAAGGCGTGTGCCACCACACCTGGCCTTCATTAAGTATAGTTGAAAATAAAGAAAATCTTTTTTAAAAAGAAAGTCAACAAATCAGAAGTTTGTTGACCGGGTAAATGAGACTGATGAGGACTACAAGATGATTGAGTGAAAAAGAATGTCTATATGATGGATATCAATAATGAAGAAAGAAGGATGGAAAGAAGCTAAGAGTAGAGAGAAGAGAACCATGAAACACCGTCTGGGCATGAGATGGCTGTGGTGCTCATGAACTCACAACAGCTGCAGCTGCCTGCATAGGGCCTGCATGAGGCTGACCCAGTAAACATTCCGTCATACATGGGGAGGTGCTCATGGGACCCCACCCCACCCAGGGAAGTGAATGGCAGTTTCGGGCTGCTGGAGGAAAGTCTTTGTCTTTGGGTGACATAGCTACTGGTGACGTACCCACACTCCAGCAGACAGCTTCACACTCAGACTCTCTCCTGTAGCCCTGGTTACACTCACAAAGAAAGAGAACAGAACAAAACAATAAGACATGACCAAGTGCGATGATGACTTGGTGGGAGGAGGGGAGACTGCTCTCTGCAGAAGGGAAATAAAAGAAAGTAGGAAGGATGGATGTGACAAGAATATAGTATATATATATATATATGAAATTGTCGAAAAATAAGTCAATTAAAATTTTTTAAAGAGACAGTAGTACAGATCCTATGGGCATAAAAAGATAAGGATTGGGGGGCTGGGCTAGAGAGATGGCTCAGCGGTTAAGAACACTGATGGTTCTTGCAGAAGACCCAGGTTTGAATCCCAGAACCCACACGGCAGCTGTAACTCCAGTTCCAGAGGATCTGACGGCCTCTTCTGTCCTCCGAGGGCATTGCACCATACGGGTGCACTTACCTATATGCAGGTAATACACGCATACACATAAAATACAAATAAATAAAATATTTTTTTAAAAAAGATAAGGATTGGAATGGGGGTTGCAGTGTGTCCCTATTATTCCGGTATTTGGAAAGCGAAGCAGGAAGACCTGAGTTCAAGGCAAATCTGGGCTGCAAAATGAGATTCTGTCTCAAAATCCCAAGAGCTAAGAAGGTACTGTTTATAGGACTGTCCTCTGACAAGACACCATCTTCCCAAGCATGGTTACTCCAGCTTGCCTAGGATTGTCACAGCTGAGCTTGTTAACTGTCATGACCCACAAGAAAGGAAGGCCAGGGAGACTCACCAGACCCTTGCCTAAGCATCCAGCCACACCTCCTAACCAACCAGTCTGCCCTGGTCTGGGGGAGAGGCTAAGTGTATATAGGCTAGGGTAACCTATAGGAGGCTTTCTTTACATTTTATGTGGCTATGGGGGAGCCACCATCCATGTGTGGATGGAGACTTTCCCATGTGGCCTTATAGGGGGAGGACCCACACTCCGGTAAGGAAACCCTCGCCCACTGCTCTGTAAGAAAGTCCAACAAACTCACTGATTTCCCAGACGGCAGTTTGGTAAAAAAAATCATACCTCAATTTGTTGTTGTGACCAAGGGAGGAGGGTGTAGATGTTGTTTACAACCTCCCCCCCAAAAGAATTTTAGCAACAGTGATAAAGTATTTGTTTAGCATGTACAAGGTCCTGAGTTAAATCTCCATCACATCACGGGAAAAAAAAAAAAAAAAAAAAGTAAGTAACAAAAAACAATAAAACTACTAAAGCCTTTAGCCAAAACTTTTGGAAGTTAGATGAAATGGGTAAATTCATGAAAATAATTCATTAACACTAGAATAAAAATATCTGAGGGGCTGGAGAGATGGCTTTTGCCAAGGACCTGGGTTCTGTTCCTAGCACCCACATGGCAGTTAACAACTGTCCTTAACTCCAGTTTCAGGAGATATGATGTCCTCTTCTGGCCTTTTCTGCATACATGTGTGCACTTACATATGTGCAGGCAAATACTCATACACATGAAATAAAAATAAAGAAATAAAAAAATTTAAATCTGAATTGTTTTCTATTTACAATGAAAGAAACTGGCTCAGTGATTTAAAAATTATGCACACACATAACAGTCGGGTGTGGTGGCAGATGCCTTTAATCCCAGCACTTGGGAGGCAGAGGCAGGCGGATCTCTGTGAGTTCAAGGCCAGCCTGGTCTACATAGCGAGTTCAAGGACAGCTGGGGCTACAGAGACCCTGTCTCAAAAAAGACCAAAAAAACAAACAAAAAATATGTCATAACCATTAATAAGTTACATCAGGGTCTGGAGAAATGGCTCAGTGAATAAGAGCACTGACTGCTCTTGCACAGGACCTGGGTTTGGTTCCCAGTTCCCACATGGCAGCTCACAACCATCTATCTGTAACTCTAGTTCCAGGGGACCTGGTGCCCTCTTCTGGCCTCTGAGGGCATTGCATGACATGGGTACACAACATACATATAGGCAATACACTCACATAAAATAAAAGTAGTAAATAAAATATTTTTAAAAAGAAAAATAATTTAGATACAAGGTCATACATAAACATCAAAGATAACAGAAATTCCAGTAACAGAAATTATTAGATGAAATTTAAAGGACACAGTGTATAATACCAGGAAGAGGTTTCATGCCTAGGAATAAGGGCAAAATATATGTTAGTCCTCTACAATTCATAACTACATATTCTTGAGAGGAATTTTAATTTTTTTAAATTTATTTTTTATGCTTATGAGCGTTTTGCCTGCATGGATGTAAGTGCACCACATGTGTGCATTGCCCATAGAGGCAAGAAAAAAGCACTGGAGCCCCTGGAACTGGAGTTAAAAATGGTTGCTAGCTGCCATGTAGATAGATGCTGGGGACAGAACCTGGGTCCTCTGTAAGAGCAGTCAGTACTCTTAACCACTGAGCCATCTCTCCAGCCCCTTGAAAAATATTAAACACTAAACAATGGAAGTATTTAACAAGTTTAGGGATGGGAAGAAAATATTGTAATATATTGGCTTTCCCCAAGCTATCTCTAGGTTCAATAAAGTCCTAATTTTAGGGGCTGTAGAGATGGCTCAGCAGTTAAGACCACTGTTGCCCTTTCAGTTCCCAGCACCCACATGGCAGCTAACAACCACTTGTAACTCCAGTTCCAGGGGATCTAATGCCCTCTTCTGGCATCCACAGGCATTGCACAGATGGGTGCACTTACATACATGTAGGTGCAACACTCAAACACATAAAATAAAAATAAAGAAATGAGGGCTGGAGAGATGGCTCAGGGTTAAGAACACTGGTTGTTCTTGCAGAAGGCCCGGGTTTGAATGCCAGCACCCTCATGGCAGGCTAACAACTGTCTGTAACTCTAGTTCCAGGGGATCCAACAGCCTCTTCTGTCCTCCGCGGCCATTGCACGACACAGGTGCACTTACCTACATGCAGGCAATACATGCATACACATAAAATAAAAATAATAAATAAAATATTAAAAAAATAAAGAATAAAAATTTAAAGTCCTAGAAGAATGGGATGGGTGGATGGAAATTATCAACTGATTTCAAAATTTTTATACAGAAGGCCAAGAATAATCAAGACAATCTTAAAGAACAAGGTTGAGAACTTTTCTACTAGGTCTCATGAGTTATTAAAAATGTATGGCCTGGCATGGTGGCCTATAATCCCAGTGCTCAGGAAACAGGTGGGAGGATCACAAGTTTAAACCTGGAGTTATGTGCTGAGTTCAAGGGCAGCCTAGCCTACGTAGTAAGATTTTATTGCAAAGAATGAAAGGGGAAAGCCAGCCTGGTCTACATAGTGAGTTCCAGGCCAGACCCCCTACAGGAAGACCTTGTCTCAAAAAGACCAAAAAAAAAAAGGGGGGGGGGCAAATAAATAAATAATAAAAATTCTCAAAAGAAGAAGTAAAGATGGCTAAGAAGCATCTTAAAAGATGTTCAACATCACTAGTAATTAATAAATAATAAAAATAAGGGAGAGTGAGACCTTAAAACAAAATAAAAAGGGAAAGAGGAGCAAAGTATAATAACCTTGGTGCCCATCAACAGATGAATGGATAAAGAAAATATGGTTTATAGACATAACAGAGTTTTTTATTCATTCATAATGAAGAACAAAATTATGACATGTTCAGGAAAATGGATGGACTGGAGATTATCATGTTTAGCAAAACAAGCCTGGCTCAACAGTTAAGAGCATTTACTGCTCTTAATGGAGTTCCCAGCACCTACCTACCTCAGACAGTTTGCAACTCTCGTAACTCCAATTCCAGGGGATCTGATGCCCTCTTCTGGCCTTTACAGGCCCTGTGTGCACATACTCTCAGACAAATACCCACACATACATGTAAAATAAAATAAATAAATCTTTAAAAAATACATTATAGCTGGGCAAGGTGACTCACACCCTTACTCCTAGCAATCAGGATGCAGAAGCAGACATATCTCTGTGAGATCAAAGCCAGTCTGATCTACATAGTGAATTCCAGGCCAAATGGGGCTACAGGGAGACCCTGTCTCAGAAAATAAACATTTTATATATATGTGTATGTGTGTATATATATATATATGCATAGAGACAGATTTATATATATAATGAACTTCATATTTTTTATAATTTATATATATATATTAAAATTTTCAAATAAAATGAAAGATATACGGCACTGTACATTGATGCAAGGACAGAGGGACAAATCATATTTATCTGGGTCCAACCAGGGGACGGGAATCATATCAATGTCTATGTTGGCTATGCCTAAGCCTGAGTTTGGGGCTCTAGTTGTCTGAGTGGGCAGGAACTAGGGCTTTCTTAGCCACTGCTATCCCCCAAACCACTTGCCTAGATCCTAGGTTGGAGGGAATCCTGGCTGTGGGACTATCTGATGGAGCCAGTGAATCCACCCCTCTCTGCTCAGACTGCCTCTGGGTTGGGAGGAAGAACTTGATTTTTCTACTGGATGGAAAACTCCTAGCATCAGATGGATATAGGAGAGCAGACCTGAGAGAGGACCTAAGGTAGGGCTGCTCCTGTCTCCTTGTAGATTTGGAAGCCAAGGGGCAGGTGACCCACATGAAGTGGGTGACTCTGTCCAGCTCATGAACGTTATAGACAAAGTACGGCTGACTGGTTTCCATGTTTATGTCACAGGGTACGTGGCAGGCTCGGACCTGGAGTTCTAGTCGCAGGCGGCTCTAGGCCACCTTCTCTCTCATATAGAGCCAGCAGGGTATGGCTTTTTCTGAGGGTTCCTCTACATAGCAGTAGCCCACACGTTTGTGCTCACCTGATGTGATGCACCAGTTACAATCTTGCCAGGGATCCCACTGGGTAAAGATCAGCACCTTGCCATCCAGGTTTAGGGTCTGGTTTTCCAGGGGCTTTTGGCCCAGGTCTTTATGTGAGATATACATCAAGGTTACGTCCTGGAAGTCAATCTCAAATCCTACCATGTGGGTTTTGTGAATATCCAGGCAGTGGTGGAGCCCTGTCTTGGAGGGCTGAGGGTTCAATAGCTTGAACAGGTTATTCCCAGGCAGTATTTTTATGTTAGATATTGAGGTGATCGGGGACAGATCCCCCTCAAGAGAGAAAGAGAAGGGCCAGCTAGCAGATGTTCTTATAGGGACATTTGATTAGTTTCTGGGCCCACAATGTGGAGAAAGAAAGACTCACCAGACACAAAGTGGTCAGCATGGCTAAGATTGCAGAAGGAATCTCAGAACCTCCTTGGGTACTGTGAAGTCACCCATAGAACTCGGGGGCCAGCCCTGGGCCCTGAACTCTGGTCCAGTTTACTTCCAGGAGGACAGTTAAATGTTTAAAATGCATGTCCCAGGAAGTAAAAGGAGTGAACTCAAAAGGCACATTATTTCCCCTACACATATTCAATATGCAAAGATGGCCGTGTGCTTTGAATCCAAAACATCCCCCATATGCTTATGTGTTGAATGTTTGGTCCCCAACTGGTGGTGCTATTTCAGATGTTCTAGAAATCTTAGGAAGTGGGCCCTAGTTGGAAGAAGTAGATTATTGGAAAGGGTACGAAGGGGTCGTGACCTCAGAAGTTCTCTCTTGTCCCTTGCTCCTTTTTTTTTTGGGGGGGTATCTTTTTTAGACAGCGACTCCCTGTACCCCCAAGCTGACCTGGAACTTGCGATGTAGACCAGGCTAGGCTTGAACTCACAGAGATCTGCCTGCCTCTGCCTCCCAAGTGCTGGGATTAAAGTCGAGTGCCACCACACCTGGCCTACTTCCTGTCTTTTTCTCTGCTTCTTGACCTCCATGAAGTGAGCAGCTCTGTTCCACCACATCCTGATGCTCTGTCCCTCCACAAGCCCGAAACAATGTAGCCAACCATGCCTCAAAACCTCTGAAACCATGAGCCAAAATAAATCTCTCCTCTGAAACTGCTTCTCTCAAGCACTTGTTGAAAAGTGACTGACAGGGGCTGGAGGGATGACTCAGTGGTTAAGAGTCTCAATGTCCTTACAGAGGACCCGGGTATGATTTCCAACACCCACATGGCAGCTAATAACCATCAGTAACTCCTGTTCAAGGGGAATTTGACACCCCCTTCTGACCTCTGCAGGCATTGTGCAACATGGGTGCACTTACATACATGCCAGCAAGTACAGTCATACACATAAAATAAAAATAAATAAAATTTAAAAAATAAGAGGACATGTATGTGAAATGTGTGTGGGGACTCAGGAGCAACTGGGATAGGGGAGTTAAGGGTGGGTGGGATTAAGATACATGTTATACAGTTTTCAAAGACTAAATTAAAATATTCTTTTAAAAAATCCTATATTCCAATTGCGTCCCCTAAACTGAGTTCATTAAGTACCTCATTTGCCTTTTAAAGTATTTCAGGCCAAGTGTTTGTCTTTCTGGCTTTAATTATGTTACTCTATTTTTAATGCATCTGCACTAATATCATCTATATTTTGGTTATATACTTATTTTTATTTTATTTATTATTTTGTGTGACATTTCCTAAAGAGATATGAACAAACATACATCTATTTACCCCAGATAGGACACTGATCACAGACCAAGGAAATGATTCCACCCAAGTCTAGCTAGTGTGACCCAGTGAGTTTATAGGGGTTACTTACAGGACTGTGGGTGGCCCAAAGGCAGCTGCATCACGGGAAAGCCTAGTGTGATAATGCAGGAAAGCTGCATCCCTGAAGCTCCCTGCCCAACCTCAGGCCATTCCATCAGGGCATCTCCTTTCCCTAGCACCTGTTTAGAGCTTATATTACCTTGAGGAGGGGCCTGGGGAATCTTGGAATTTCCGAGCTTCTCCAGCATGTTAAGTTTCCTTAGCTTCCTGAATCCTGAGTCTCAATCTTCCCTCCAGGAAGGAATGTTTCAATCTAGAGGAAACAGCCACACAATATATGTAGAATGGACCATCTGGCAGGTATGGTGGCACAGTACACCTGCAATCCTAGCACCCATGAGGCTGAGGCAGGAGGTGTGCCAGTTCAAGGCCAGATACATAGTAAGACTTTGCCTCAAAAAAAAAAAAAAAATTAAATGAGAGATGGGTGTGGTGGTGCACACCTTTAATCCCAGCACTCAGGAGGCAAAGGCAGGCAGATTTCTGTGAGATGGAGGCCAGCCTGGTCTACATAGTGAGTTCCAGGCCAGCTGTGCTAAGAGGAGACCCTGTCGAAAGAAAGAAAGAAAGAAAGAAAGAAAGAAAGAAAGAAAGAAAGAAAGAAAGAAAGAAAGAAAGAAAGAAAGAAAGAAAGAAAGAAAGAAAGAAAGAAAGAAAGAAAGAAAGAAAGAAAGAAAGAAAGAAAGAAAGAAAGAAAGAAAGAAAGAAAGAAAGGAGGGAAGGAGAGGAAGGGAGGGGAAGGCAGAAAGGAAAGAAAGAAAAAGGAATAATTTAATAACAATAATAATAGAACAATGTGGGACAGGTCAAGGAGGAATGGGAAATTATTTAATAGGGAAAGAGTATATTGAAGATGATGACCAACCTTTGGTTATAAATAATGTATACATAATATACATAGATAACAAGTACAAAGCCGGGCATGGTGGTACAGGCCTTTAATCCCAGCACTTGGGAGGAAAAGGCAGGTGGATCTCTGTGAGTTCCAGGCCAGCTGTGGCTACAGGGAGACCCCGTCTCAAAAAGACCAAAATAAATAAATAAATAAAAAATAAATAAATAAAGTGTACAAAAACACCATGTATTTTATACCACTGGTTTAGTTACAGTTAAAATAACTATTACTGTATCCATATTTTACCACCATACTTCAAAAAAATTTTATGTGTATAAGTGTATTGCCAGCATGTACTTAAGTGCACCTGTGTGCAATGCCCGTGGAGGTCAGAAGAGAGCGCCGGATTCCCTGGAACTGGAGTTACGGAGGGTTGTGAACAGCCATGTAGGTGCTGGGAATTGAACCCTGGTCCTCTCCAAGAGCAGTCAGTGCTCTTAACCACTGAGCCATCTCTCCAGCTCCTTACCATACATTTTAAAGCAATGATGGCGCATCATGGGGTGAAACTGTATCAGAAGTGTTTGAGTGCAGCTCTAAGGGAAGTGGGGGGGCATGTGTCTGCTTCAAGATGGTAATTCTAGCAGTGTAGTGGTGCGTGTGAAAAGCAGATTCAGGCCCAGGGAGGGGGCTAGTGTGGCTGAAGTTGTCTGAGCTAGAGTGCAAGGGGACAGGGGAAGGACAATCAGGCATTTGAATTCAGCCGGGAGTGAAGTGCAACCACAGGAGGGTATGATCAGAGGAATGCGATCTGACACGAATTTTACAGGATCCATTAGAACAAAGCATGCCGGGGTTTCCAACGCACCAGCCACTGGCCCAGTTCCCACCCCCTTGGGGTCTCCTAGGCAGCCGCGCTGTTTGCCCAGCATGCGCTTCCCTCTCAGCGCCACGAGGGGGCAGCAGTGTCACGCCCCGCAAGCCACCTGCCGAGCCGAGGCGCAGGTGGCTACAGCTTGGGAACCTTTGGACAGAAACAGGTCCCAGTCCTCCCGCTTCCCCTCAGCCCCTTTAGGCATCAGAGCTTCCGGAAGCCTGACCTGGATCCACTGATGCCCGAGGGGAAGGGAGGGGGCGAACCCCGAGTTAGAAGGAGGTGGAAGCAGCTGAAACTACCGAAGTCGACTCTTCATGGGCGTTCCCAGCAGGGCCAGAACTTTTTGTCTGGGGGACTCCGTTGAGTTTTTGAGTCACCCAACGCGGGGAATGCAGGAAGCCCGCAGCACCTCCCCCACCAGGGCGGGAATGGGAAGGAAGGCGTCACCCACACTCCTCAGCCAGCCGGGACCTGGCTCGGCTCGCCCCACCCCTCTGGGCGCACCTAGGCGGGTCCACCCGCGCGGGGAGCAGGGGTGGGTATCCAGAGCGAACAGGTGCGCAGCAGGGCCCGCCCCCTCCCAGCAGGTGGAGTCCACCCACCCCCCGGCGGCCCTCGGTACCCGCGCATCTCTGGGAGATCAGCTCTGGCCAGAGCAGGAGGTCGCTGCAGAAGTCGCGTCCGACGCGGGTCCCCTCCTGGCCATCCGGTCACTTGGTTTAGGCCCTGGGGGCAGGAGCGCACCTGAGTCAGCCCACTTCCGGGGAGGGAGGCGGACAAGCCCCTCCCCCGCTGCCCACCCCCAAGCCCTGCCCCGGGGCTCCCACCCTTGTGTACCTGGGCGGATCCATTCCCGGGAGCGCGCAGGGGTGTGGAGTGACCCGGAGAGTCACGGCGGACCCCGCAAGTTGTCCCCGGAAAGTCGAAAGCGTACGCTTCGTCCAAGTTCTCTCTGTTGTTTAAAACTCCTCGAGTGTGGGAAAATGGACTTGGATTAGGGACCAGGAGCGGAAGCGGGAAGGGGAGGAGTGCGCACCCCTCTCGGCCTTTGGTGCTCACCGCGCCCCCTACTCTCCGGGTACTAGGGAGGGGACACGCGGGCTCGGTCGCGCCCAGACGGCCGCGATGGCGCCGGCTGCCAGCGCCCGTGCCTGGGTCCCCGGCTCCCACCCGGTCACAGTGGTCCTCGTATGGCTCTTTCTTATCACTTGTTGTCCAGGTAAGGAGTGGGGAGGGGGGTGCCCGGGTGCTGTGGGACGCGGGGAGGGCACTACAGAAATGGTTGAATGGCTACGGTTCTCAGCGACCCTGGGGGAGCCCGAGCCAGGAGGAGGATGGCTCGTGCCAGGGCGCAGATCTGGCCTGTGTGGGGAGACCCCAGTGTGCCCGAATGAAAGGACTTACCCAAAGCGTCTGGCCCAATCCGCCCCTCCACCCTGGTTGGGAGATAACAGGAAGTGAAACTCCCGGGATCTTAAGTCCGAGGGCAACGCGAAGAAAGGGACCCTTTGTGGGGCAGGAGTGGGGACTCCCTGATCACCGGAGAGGCCGGGACTGTGGCATCTTGGGCGCACCCCGAGATCTCTACGTATTGCTAAGTGTTGGGGTAACGGGGAGAAGGCACTCCAGGGCTGGATCAGACGCTTCCTGAAGGAAGAGATCAAGAAACAGTGCCCGGGCTTGATGTGGGTGTGGGATCGGGGAATCCCCAATCCACCCACCTCCTGTAGCCACCGCAGTATCTGTACATAAGAGTTTGGAAGGGTGGACTTTTGAACCACAAACCATCTTCTGCTGGCCGGGGGTCCTTTTGCATCTGAGTGTGCATTCTGAAGAGGACTTTGTGTAGGGAGAGGTGGGAAAGAGGCTGATGGAGACTTGGGCTTGCCCTCTGGGAACTGCAAAAAGGGAGAGCCAGCCAGAGATGGACAGAACATTCTAGGAATCTGGCCCGTGTGGCCTCATTTATCACTTTTCAGCCCTATGGGTGTATAAAATGGGCATAATTATCGGATCTGCCTCACCACGTCTGTCGCTGGGATTAAGGAACAATGTGTACCCGAGGTGCTCTGAGAAAACAGTCAAGAGGTGTTGCTCACCCTGTGTGGTACCTCCCTGTGCTCAGATGTCCCTACTGATTGAGCTCTTGTCCTCAGCCCCTGCCAGTGCCGTCCAGGTGACCGTGTCTGACCCCTACCATGTAGTGATCCTGTTCCAGCCTGTGACCCTGCCCTGTACCTACCAGATGACCAACACACTCACAGCTCCCATCGTGATCTGGAAGTACAAGTCCTTCTGCCGTGACCGAATTGCTGATGCCTTCTCCCCTGCCAGTGTGGACAACCAGATCAATGCCCAGCTGGCAGCTGGCAACCCTGGCTACAACCCCTACGTGGAGTGCCAGGACAGTGTGCGCACTGTCAGGGTGGTGGCTACCAAGCAGGGCAATGCTGTAACCCTGGGAGACTACTACCAAGGCAGGAGGATCACTATCACAGGAAGTATGTGGGGTGAAGTGGCGGAGGAGGCTGTCCTGCATGGGTGGTAGGGTGTGAGAGCTCTTGAGTATTGTTGTCTGAATGGACCCATGAGGGGTGGGAACCTTTCATCCATTCACCCGTTCGTCCATCCTTCTATCCATCTATCAGTCCATCCATCTACCCATTCACCCATCCATCCTCCTATCCCTCTATCCATCCATCTTATCCACCCACTCACCCACCCATCCATCCATTTGCCTATCAATCCATCTATCTATCCATCCATCCTCCCATCTATCCATCCTCTTATCCATCTATCCATCCCCCTATCCATCCACCATTCATCTATTCATTCACCTATCCATCCATCCATCCTTCTACCCATCCCTTTATTCCACAATGGAGCACCCACTATATATACCAGATTTATTCTTGGCTCTGGAAAACTACCAAATCACTGATCCCATGAAGTTCACAGTGTTGTAAGGGACACAGACTCAATATACAGTATCAAATGGTTGTAGGTAAGGAAAACTAAGTGGAGAGAGTTAGGGATTCATTCTATAACAATACTGTAAATACCAGCAATTGGAATAAAACTTGAGCCAGGCATGGTGGCTCACACCTGTAATCCCAGCATTTGTGAGGCTGAGGAAGGAGGATTTTGAGGTCAAGGCCAGCCTGCGCCATGTGTAATGAGACCTTGCCTTAAAAGAAGTAAAAATTTAAAAGTAACAATTTCCAAAAGGCCTCCTATATGCCAGGCTCCAGTATGGGTTAACAAGCATTAACTCAAGTAAACCACACAGTGTGGGTTTACATGGATTAACTCAGGTAAACCACACAGGAATTGAATGAACCCATTCTACTGTCCTTTTTCAGAGGCTCTAAGAGACAAATGATTTGCTGAGTTACACAACTGAGTTAACAGCTGGGGTCCAGCTTGGTCACTTTAGACTTAGTTTCTAAGCTTGGGTCCTCTACCCAGGGGAGTGAGCAGCAGGCCCCAAGAGGTGAGGCGTCCAACCCAAGGACAAGTGATTTTAATGGAGAAGGCCTGTGACTTGCCTGGCACCTTGCACTCATTCTCCCATTGAGTGGACTCTAACACCACTGAGGTGCACAGGGATTAGGTAGCTTGTTTAGGGTCACAGATGGTAAAGACTCAAACTCAGCACAGCGGGGTTTCTAATCATAGTGCCACCTCCTGTTAACAAATGGCTGTCAGGATCAAGCATGGAGCAGTGGGAAAAGTCATTCATTCATTTTGTTCTCGGGTGGTCTTAGAAATGGAACCTAGGGCCTTGTACATGCTAGACAGGAAGGTGCTATACCACTGAGCCATGCCCCCAGCCCCTCACTGGTGGATTCAAGGTAAGAAGTCTACCACTGAGCCCAACTCCCCCCAGCTATTTACTTAGTGTTTTGTCAAAGGATCTACTGTGTCCCAGGTGCTGTTACAGACACTGAGCAGTGATCAGAATAGCCAGGGCCCTCCTGCTGCCCTGAAAATACATTCTAGAGGCGAGACTGATAATGAAAAGCAGACTTAAAAGATTAAAAGGACAAGAGCACTGCGCATGGTGGTTTATGCCTTTAATCCTAGGGCTTGGGACATGGAAGGAATTAAGATCATCCTTGGCTTTGTAGCAAGTTGAAGGCCAGCCTGGGCTATAGGAGACCCTATCTCAGAGAACCAAAAATTAAAAAGGTGGGAGATTTCAGATAGTTACTGAGTATAAAGAAAAGAACTTCTGGGGTTTTGTGTGGAGTGACTTGGGCTCCCAAAGGTCATGGATAGATCCTTTTGCTGCCTTAAGGATTGGATTTAATTCTTGGGTTTCAGGAAGGCTTTGCAAACTCCCAGAGACCAGGCTGTAAAGCACATCCTCCCCCTCTATCAGGGCATAGATGAAAGGCACAGTTCTAGGGACTGGGCCTGCCAGTCCTGTTTTAGACTTTGCCCTGAATCTCCATGGCAACTCAGCCCTAAGCTTTCAACTGTCCTTGAGATTGGGGAGAGATGGGGGGCGGTTCACACTAGGCCTGAATTCCCTGATTAGGACACCCCAAATATAGAGAATGCCCTTGAAGACTGGCTAGAACTGACTCTCCTTTGCTGGGCACAGAGTTTAGGAATGCCGGTGAGGATGTATCCTACAGGGAGCCTTATGGCCCAGAATCTTCAAAGGCTAGGTCTCTCCAGCTGGTTGTCCATGGGTCCCCTGTCCATTCAGGAACCTGAGTAGCATGAGAGCTTCCTTCCTCGTCAGCTTTGAGGATAGGAAGAGGGAGACTTTCAGTAGTGACCCTAAAGTCACTAACTATTTGGGTTTTTAAGAGTGAAAGTAAGTGCGACCTGTTGTCCCAGCTCCTCAGGAGGCTGAGACAGAAGGGTGGAAAGTCCAAGGCCTGCCTGGGCTATGTGGCGAGCTCAAGGCCAGCCTGGACCACTTAGTGGTACATACTTGTTAACATGGGCAAGGATCTAGATTAAGTCCCAGAACTGAAAAAAACAAATATCCATCGCCCAGGGTGGACCCTGCCTCCTTTCCATTCTTGCTTTGGGGGGATGTAGGGCATCACATGGGAGGCTCTGGTGTTACCACCTCAGGCTGCTTGGGTACCATGTGTCCCACATTCTGGGCAACACTGAACTGGACCCTGAGGACCTCTGAAATCACGGGGCTCCCCTCTGCCGTGTATAGACAAGAAATCGAGACATAACCATGAAGGAGCTCAGCCTCTGTTCCCATTGAGGACCATCCTCTTGGCCCCACACTCTATACAATAGAAACAGTGCCTACCCCCTGTGATCTCAGGGCTAGTGGGGACCAGGAACAGGGTGTGCCCTGCAGGAAGGAGGTGGGCCCAGGCTTCAGGATTGATCAAAAGAAGCCGGAAAGCCTTATTTTTCATAGGTTCTGAAAACATACAGGCCAAATACAACACATTATGACCCAGATCTGGGCCTGGAGACGCTGGTTGTAATGTCTGACCTATGTAATCATTCCCATGGCAGGAGGTCCTGTTCTTGAACACCGGCATTAGGGAGACATGATCAGAATCTCATTGACAACCCTGCCTTAGGCCCATGGGAGATGAAGAGCTGAAGGAGCATCACAGCTGAGTTGATGAGTTCCTGCTGGCCTGCCAGCCAGTCCCATCCACCCAAGGCCTCCTTCATGGTGGGTCCAAGAGCAGGAACCACAGGGGCCCCAAGTCATAGCGCCCATCACCCACTAACATACCCCAGGCATACAAGTGGAAAATCATGGGTCAAAAGAGTGCAGAAGAAAATCTGGAATATTTAGGCAGTCTAAGTTACCGAGTTTTTGAGGTTTCTGTGAAAGGGTGGATGCCCGCAAAGGGGTCTTGCACATAATACTAGCTTAGTTAACAGTGGCTAAATGCCTGGCCTTGGACAGGAGTTGGGTCTTCCGTGCTTGTTTTGAAGGTCACCCCCCTGCCGCCTCCATGCCTAGTACTTTTGGTCACCCCTGGGTCAGTTGCGCTACATTGTTTATCGCCAGCTGATAGCTGATTAATTTTTTTTTTTTTTTTTTTTTTTTTTTTTTTTTTTAGTCCAGGTTGGCTTTGAACTCCCTATGCCGTCAAAATGGCCATCTTCCTGCTCTACCTCCTCAGTGCTGGGATTATAGGCATGACACCATGCCTGGGTTTATGTGGTACTGTGGACGTAACTCAGGGCTTCATGCATGCTAAGCACAGAATCTAAGCTCTGTAAGGGCAAGCTTTCCACCATGAAGGATTTTTAAAGATAATTTAAATGGAGATAATATGCCCATTGAAAAACTAACGTATCTTTCTTTTATAAAAAGAAGGAAAAAAGACCCCTAAATTTTCCTAAACCAGAACCAATTTTTGAAATAAGATAATTGGCAGTGCTTTCTATTTCAAGCCTCCTTAACTTCTGACTCAGTAGAAGAACAAGATTCTCCCAAGCTGCTTATGTCTACTGTGAGATTACTTGTCACCTGGGAAATGGAGTTGAATGTTCCTGAATGGTCAAGAGGGAAAGGCTTGTCATGTCTTAGTGTTGTTAGAAGTTGGACTGCAGGAGCCCCTGGTAGGGTAGAGAACCCCAGGACCCCCCCCTCCCCCTGACCACACTGAGAACCACTGCTTTCTAGTATTGATGTGTTGGAAACTTCCTGGACCAGTGGGTGCAGTTATTTGTTGACTGTATTTTTTTATTGTTTTTGTGGGAGTTTTTGTTTTTTGAGACAAGGTCTCACAATGGAACTTCCTATGTAGACCAGGCCGGCCTCGAACTCACAGATAACCATCTGCCTTTGCCTCCCAAGTGCTGGGATTAAAGGTGTGCTGCACCACCACACTGGGCCATCTCCCAGGAGTTTTTGAGGTCATCTCCCCATATGTTCCAGGCTGACCTCAAACTCTATCCTCTTGCCTCAACCTCCCCAATGCTGAGATAATAGGCATGCGTACCAGACCCCCAGCACTGCTGGATAGTGAATGAATGAGGTCAGTTTTTATTTGAATGTAGCTGCAAAGAAGCCATTTGTTGCTTGTTGGGACAAGGAACAAAAGGTGTGGAGAAACGGGTGGCCAGGCCCTGCTCTGGCCAGCAGTGACAGAAGCTGACTGCATTGTCACGGGGCAGAAGTGGGCGCTGGCACCTGAGCAGGGTGACAGACTTGAGCAGTCAGTTAGGGAAGCTATCTATGCAAGTTGGGGTGGCCCTGGGAGCCCTCCTCTCCTGTAGGCTGAGGCTTGAGTGCAAAGAAGGAACCAGACTGGAGCAGTCTGATAGGATGGTGTGGAGAATGAGGGCAGAGGCCTGTGGGAGCCAGTGTGCTGAGAACAGACATGGGTGGAGCCCACTTGAGTGAAGGTGATGGTGACATTGGCATAGCCAGTGACTAGAGAATATGCCAAGTGCCTTGGAGGCCTGGGATGGCCTGTGGGGTGTTGTGGAGAACACTGTGAGATACTGGGGGGCGGGTGGTTCTGGTTTCAAGCCCTCCCCTAGTGGTTGGTGTCCCAGTGGATTAGGGACCCATAGTTCTTACTCCAGCTGTGGTTGACAGGCTGTCATGCGGACCCTGGCTTCATGACAGTAGCCTTGAACCCCTCGGGTTCTGCTGGCTAGGATAGATGCTCAGCTTTAAGGTAGAGTCACCAAGCAGGGGCTGCCCTGTCCTACCTTTGTAGATGGCTGAAGGGATGTAACTAATTAGGGCCTTAGGAGTAGAGAGGAAACCGGATGTGCTAAAAGACTTTCATTAGTAGTGCAATTAACAGGCCCCTTGCCTGGGGCTCCTTTCTGACCAGAGCGTCCCCAAGCCCTGGGACTGACCTGGAATGTGGGGACAAAGAGGAGGGGGTGGGCCTGGAACTAGGAGAGTCACTGTCTCTCCTACGCCCAGTCACACACACTCCTCCTGCTGCCTCAGCATCTCCTATCTGGGATCTGGCCTAGTTAGCCCTGCTTCCTAGGCTCTGCCTGCACCCATCCCCCAGGTCTGATGAGAGAGACCAGACTTTGGCTTTGTAAGTTGGTAGGGAGAATGCCTTTAGTTTGGAAGTGTAGGCCCTGTAGTCAGACTGTCCCCACCTTTGGCCGGATTAGGTCATCTTTCCACACCAGATGTCTTACCTCTAAAACCACAGAAATAATGATGTCCATCTCCTAGATTCTACCCTGCCCCCACTCTCCACCCCCTCCGGGGCTTGGGATCCAACTCAGGACCTCTTCAGGCTAGCCAAGCATTCTACCTCTCAGGCATACCCCTAGCCTAGCCCTTGCTTGTTTATTTATTTAGATGTAGGGTCTTTGTAGCCCAAACTGGGTTTCAAGCCCTGCTGTCTCAGGGCTTGTACCAGGATTACAGGCCTGTGTCAGTGTGCCTGGTGCCTAGGGTTCTTGAAACAAACTGTGTTCAGAGCAGTGCATAAAAGTGTGTGTTCTTTGAAGAATGATTTGATTTTAGCTAGGCAGGATGACACTACCTGTCATCCTAGCACTTGAGGGGCTGAAGTAGGAGAAGGCCAGCCTGGGCTACATAGCAAGATACTATCTCAAACAAACAAAACAAAAAACTCCCTAATTTAATTTTTACTTGACTGCTTTTCAGCCCAGTTCCCTTGGTCCTTTCTTGGGGTGTAAGGGGGTCTCAGGCCCTGCCAGTTTTAGGCACCCCCTCCCCTGGAGTGTCCTCACACTGTCTCCTTCTCACTCAGATGCTGACCTGACCTTCGAGCAGACAGCCTGGGGGGACAGCGGAGTGTATTACTGCTCGGTGGTCTCAGCCCAGGACCTTGATGGGAACAACGAAGCTTATGCTGAGCTAATCGTCCTGGGTGAGTGGGGCTGGGCCTGAGAGCCCAGGAGAGGGGAAGGGGGAATGGATCCTCCTGTCTACTCTCGTGTGTCCTCCATCGGTCCTCCAGCTCACGTGCTGAGCTCTGTCGCCTGCTTTCCTCTCCCCCTTTCTGTACTTGCCAGTCACTTGGGCTTCTCTACGCCCCACACCCCAGGCAGAACCCCTCCCATGGCATTTCAAATCAGCCAGTAATTGTAGAGAGACCGACCTCTAGCCTCTGTTTTTTAAAAACACAGACATGGTCAGGTGTGGTGGCATACACCTTTAATCTCAGCACTCTGGAGACAGAGGCAGGTGGATCTCTATGAGATCGAGGCCAGTCTGGTCTACATAGCAGACTCTAGGCCAGCTGGGGTTATACAGGGCAGTGATCATGGCAGTGAGAACCTCTCTGTATCCACAGGGAATGTTCCAGGCTCCTTAGGGAAAATGGCAGTGTTTACCCAGAACTTAATATCCTTCTCGTTTTAGACTATTTGATACAATCAAAGTGTGTTACAGTGCACACTGTTTCACTGTTGATCAGGCAAGGAAAACAAGTCTGTACATGCGGGCAGTGTGGATGCATTTTCTGAGAGTGTGGTAGCCAGGAGCTGGAGTCTTTGCACTTGGGAGGTCAAGTTAATACAATGGAGAATTCTAGGCCACTGAGCTACACAGTGAATTTCAGGTCAACCTGAAATATACAATTGAGTTTCAGACCAACTTGAGCTACATAATGAGACTGTCTCCAAAAAAAAAAAAAAAAAAAAAGCAACAACAAGAAAACCAAGCGGGGTGCAGTGATGCACCCCTTTAATATCAGGAGGCAGAGGCAGGCGGATTTCAAAGGCCAACTTGGCCAACATAGCAAACTCCAGGCCAAAAACCACCTCAAAACATATTTTTTGTTTTTGAGTATTTTCTGTGTACACTGGATCTGGAAGGCTAGTGGTGTAATTGAGGCTGAACCCACCTTCTGTCACATCTCCAGGGCCACAGTGCACCAGAGTCCCTTGTTAAAACACAAAGTTTGTCCTTTGTCTCTTTTGGATGGTACTGTGTGTGGCAAAGTTTGAGTGTGTCTAAAACAAGGCCAATGGGCCAGCCATGAGCTAGGAGGACCGCGAGGGCTGGATGTCAGAGAAGCCGGGGCTGTACATAGCAGTCCTCATCTGTGATCAAGTGCATGGTGGAAACAGGGTCCAGTGTGCTTGAGCCACTCACAGGTGGAACCTGCCCACCAGTGACTCAGGGACCTCTGGTGACAGGCACCATCAGCAGCCCTCAGCATTTTTTAGGTTCTCAGAAGTTTTGTTCCAGTTTTTGTGGGGCCTACCCAGTTTCTTACTGTATTAGAAATTGAATTGGGAACTTTTTTTTTTTGAAACAGGCTCATGTGTAGCCCAGATTGACCTTGAACTAGCAATCCTCCTACATCCACTGCCCTCTTAAGTGGTAGGATTACAGGCATCCACTACCACAGCTGGCTGAGTGGGGACTTTTTGAAATCTCAGGATAACCAAGGGCAAGCCTTCAGCTACCAAGGTGGCGCTGTTGTGTCCCGAAGCCTATGGAGACTTCAGCTGTGTCCTCAGGAGAGGAGAGCGGAAAAAGTCCAGTGTCATTATGCAGAGTTTTGGCCTCTGACCACATTTTGCTTTTGGTTGTTTTATTTACCTATTTATTTTGAAGCAAGATTTCATGTAGCCTCCAACTCGCTATGTAGTTAAGACTGGCTTGAACTCCTGATGTTCCTGCCTCAGCCTCCTGAGCTGCTGGGATCACACGCGTGTACCATGTGCCTCTGCAGTGTGCACACGCTCTGGAGAGAGGTGTGTTGGTGTAGAACCATAGTTGTGTGCCTGTGTGTATGAGAGAGCGTGTGTAGATTCATGATACCATGTTTGTGGGGCACAGAGTTCCCATGGCACCAGAGAGTTGCACAGACTAGGTTGGGAAACACACATGTGTGACTCAGTCCATGAGCCTTCCTGGGGACCAGTCCAGGACCACATAATGATTTTAATTTGCTTTCATATTGTGAGCTGGGGTGTAGCTATGTGATAAAGCACAAACTTAGCATTTATGTGGTCCTGGGTTCAAGCCCCAGCATTTCACTCTCTCTCTCACACACACACTGTATTTTATTATTGTGTTGATATAAAGGTAATTCATTATTATATACTTGGTATTATACTTTTTCTTCATATTTTATTTTGGTATTTAAATTTTAGTTTTAATATAATATTCTTTGAAAATTTCAGACATATATAATGTGTTTTGGTCAGATCCACTCCCATTCCCCACATCCAACTCTTGCCCCAGACTCCTCCAATACTTAACATCTCCCATCTTAATGTCCTATTTTTTACCACTCACTGGAGCCATTTAGTGCTTCCTGTATGTGCATGGGCGTGGGGCCATCCTGTAGAAGAAACCACATTCCCAAAGAAAAGTGACTCTTCAATAGCCATCAGCTGCCATTAGCATCTCAGTGAGGGGTTGGACCTTTTCTTTGTATTTTAAAACATTTTGAACCAGGTGTGGTAGCTTTTTCCTGTAGCCCCAGCACTCTGGAGGCTGAGGCAGGATTGCTTCAAGTTCAAGGCCAGCCTGGGCTACATTATAAGCCCCTATCTCAAACAAGTATTCTGAGGGGCTCTAGAGTATGACACTCACTCAGCCCATCATCTGGATTGGAATTCCATATAATGACAGGACCTGTGTAGGTGGGAGAGATGAAGTGCCTGTGCTGCGAGGTATCTTTTAGGACCCGGCATGCATGCTGGAGCCCTCCAGGCCCAGAGAGAACAGGTGGTTGATGTGAAAGGTGCCTTGCACGGTGGAAGGCATGTCCCTCATGCCAGGACTGTCCTAGGGCACTAGAGGCTGTCTCCTCAATGCAGGGCGTGCCTTCCGCTAACCAGCTAGAGCTGGCCGTTTTTGCAGGTGGGGGCCGGGGCTGGCCCCTCGCCAACAGCCCCTCGCCAACATAATCTCGTCTCTCTTTTGTCCCTCCAGGCAAGACCTCAATGAATGAGCACTTCCCTGATTTGGGGGCGGGGCCCTTGGAAGGTATGGGGGGTGGAGTCCCCGGTGGGGCTTCTCTTGGTGGGGGGGCTGTGGTATACTGCTTCTGTTTCTAGTATCCCCCATTCCCTAATCATGCTCACTGAACCTCCACTAACCCTGCCCCATTCTGTAGTATTTAGTGACCTGGGTATGGGCTTGGGGTGGCCTGGGCTGGCTGAGGAGGTAGGAGGTTCCTGGGGTGTAGGCAAGGGACTCGAGTGACTGGTACCCGCTGTGTCCTTTGGGGGTTTGGGTCTGGGCTGTGGTTCTGCTCCGTTCTGAAGGCCCCTCTGTGTGTTGCTCCCGCCAGGCTGCCTTGCTCTCTGCCTTGTCTGTTTGAACCCCGGTTGCGGTCTTTCATGGGGCATGGGGGGAGGCCGGGTGAGTGTCCTGTTGCCCAATCTGGGGCACAGAGAATCAAGAGCTGCAGGTTCTCTGAGCTTTGTAGATAGCCCCCTGCTCCAGAGCTGACTGTGGAGCCGGGGTCTCCTGCCCACCTACCTCCCCTAGGCCTCCCAGCTCAGGGCCCGTTCTTTCTCTACAGACTGGCTCTTTGTGGTCGTGGTCTGCCTGGCCGGCCTCCTTGTCTTCCTCTTCCTGGCCATCTGCTGGTGCCAGTGCTGCCCCCATACCTGCTGCTGCTATGTCAGGTGCCCCTGCTGCCCGGAAAAGTGCTGCTGTCCTGAGGCCCGTAAGTGCCCCTAACCTGCCATCCCCACTCAGCCTCTGTGCTGGGCACATGTGCCTGCCCTCCAGGCCAGCATGAGGCTCTGTCTCAAACAAACAAATCTAAACAAAACAAAAACCTCAAGGGAATGGTAAGAAATGAAACAAGGTTTATAGTACCGAAACATTCTAGCAAATTTTAAGGAGCATACACTCAAACTGCACGTTTTGTATGGAGCCTGTCACATCACAGTGGGCACCTGTGGAGGGGTAGGACTAGAAATGGGATCAGAGATGATGGAGACAGAGGGAAAGAAAACGAGAGTGCTCTCCTCCCCCCATGCCTCCTTTGGGGACCAAACTGTTGGCCCTCTTTAGCTTTCCCCAGGAGTCAGTCTGGATAGCCCCAAACCTTGGTGCACAGCCCACAGAAAAGAACCAGCAGTTACCAGATTGGGCAGGTGTGGTGTTAAGGCTGGCTAGGTGTCTGACACACCCAGAGGTCTAATGATGGCCCATTCCTCCCCAACTTGTTTCCTCCCCCTGGAAAATAGGGTTCACTGTAGCTATCACAGTACAGAGGGAATGTAGAGGTTTGAGTGTGGGGGCTCATGTGGCATGGCACTTAGTGGATCTGGATAAGGTGTTCCGTGTTGCTGTTCAGCATTGCTGTCAGCAGCATGTGTGACGTCAGGCTGGGGCACAGGTTAGGGAGCCTTGCTGTGCACACTGGCCTCTGAGGAGCCATGTTCCCTTCTCTGTAGGCTTTCAACCTCATGTGTTCTGAGGTTAAGGGACCTCTGCAAGAGCCCCCAGGACCAGGCTATCATTCTACCCTTGCCTGCTACTGGCTACTGTTGAATCATTTTGTTTGTAAATATGCTCTGTGTAGCCCAGGCTAGCCTTGAACTTTATCCTCTGGCCTCTCATGTACTGGAATGATAGGCATACGCCACCACACCCAGTTTTACTGTAGCCACTAGTGGTGGCCAACCTGTTTCCTCACTTGAGAAAGTCCTCTCTCGACTCCCACTGCTAATTAGAGCCTGGCCAGTCACCTGAACTAATGAAGGGGTTCCTCATGGACAGAGCTGAGCACTTAAATCTTCTGCTTCCAAATCGAGGTGCCTCTGATCTTACAGGGTCCCAAGGGGGAAATGACTTACTCAGGGGCCCTGACTTTTTCATTGAACTGCTATATTTCCAGTCCTTATTTTAATTTTGAGACAGAATCTAAGTTACTTAGGCGGGCCTTAAAACTCTGTAGACTGAGCTGGCCGTGGTGGCACATGCCTTTAATCCCATCACTTGGAAGGCAGAGGCAGGTGGATCTGTAGGAGTTCAAGGTCAGCCTGGTCTATGTAGTGAGTTCCAGCCAGCTGGGGCTACAGGGAGACCCTGTCTCAAAAAAGACCAAATTAAAAAAAACCAAAAACCAAAACTCTGTAGGCTGGCTAGGCCTAGAATGTGTGATCCTCCTGCTGCTTCAGCTCCTTCCTATGTAGCTGGGATTGTAGGCCTGCACCACTAAGTCTGGCTGGATCCAGTGATTTTTGAGGCAGGAATAGCCACCAGGACCCAGGATCCACCCTGGAGAAGGAAGAATTTTTCCCTTGAGCTGTCTAGCCTACACTGCTGGGTGGGTAGGAGTGGGTGTGGCCAGGAGTTGGAACCCTAGTAGAGATACTCTGTTGCATTGCCCTGCAGGAAGTTAACACCTGAGTGTGTGTGGCAGCCTGACTCCCATTTGCTGTGTCTAGGAGGTGACTTGGTGGGATGGACTTAGCAAGCACAGTGGAGTGGCCACGGGATCTCCTATGTGGTTCAGTTTTCTACAGCAGAGGCTGGACTGCTGAAGGAGAAACAGTGGTGGGCCCAGAACATGGGCTGTATTTATCTAAAGGGGGTGACTTGCCTACTACTGTCAGTAGGAACGGGTCTGTCCTCCCAGCTACTCTGGTGGCTGAAGCAAGAGGATCACAAGTTCAAGGCCTGCCTTGGCTATAGAGTGAATTCAGGATGTTCCTGGACAACTTACTAACACTTTGTTTTAAGATAACATTTAGTTAAAAAGCACCTGGGGATGTGCCTCAGTGGTAAAACACTTACCTAGCATGTGTGATCCTCTGGGTTTCATCCATCCCTACATACGCACTACCGCTCAGGAGTTCCCCATGAAACCTTTTCATTGTCAGCTGTTGGCAAACCACCATAATGTGTACAAACAAAATATACTGTCAGGTTGGGACCCTGAGCTGCCAGTGCTCACCCCTATTCTCAAAGCTCCACGAGGAATTAGACAGGAAGTAGGGAATCAGTGAAGGCTGTGTCCCCTAGCCTAGGGTACTACAGAAATGGAGGGGCAGGCCCCTGCACCCCAGGACCCTATTACAGTATAGAACAGCATGATTCAATGTCACCGTCTCCTGCCAATTTGCCCTCCCAGTTTACGCAGCGGGCAAAGCAGCCACCGCAGGAGTTCCCAGCATCTATGCGCCCAGCATCTATACCCACCTCTCTCCTGCCAAGACTCCGCCCCCACCACCAGCCATGATTCCCATGGGCCCTACCTACAATGGCTACCCTGGAGACTTCGACAGGAATAGCTCAGGTGAGGCCAAGGGGTAGGCTAGGGGTGGAAGAGTGAATGGGAGACTGGGCAGTCACTGACAACCGGTCTTCCATAGTGGGTGGCCACAGCTCCCAGGTACCCCTGCTTCGTGATGTGGATGGCAGTGTGGCCTCAGGTAAGAACCTGTTTTGTTTTTTGAGGGTTGGAGGGAGGGGGATGGGTATGCATCCAGCCTCCTAAACCCATCACCTTGTTTGTTCCTGTCCCAGAAGTCCGAAGTGGCTACAGGATCCAGGCTAGCCAGCAGGACGACTCCATGAGAGTCCTATACTACATGGAGAAGGAGCTGGCTAACTTTGATCCCTCCCGACCTGGCCCTGGCCCTCCCAATGGCCGTGTGGAACGAGGTGAGCTTCAGACCTGGGGTCTGAGGGGGTAGGAAACATGCCCCAAGGATGCTTTTGCCAGTCTTGCACTTAGACCCTCCTTCCCTACTGTGCCCCGAGGAGAGGATGTGAGCCCTTGGATGACAAGGCTGGACCCATTCTAGCTATCCCCCTTCCCTACAGCCATGAGTGAAGTCACCTCCCTCCACGAAGACGACTGGCGATCTCGGCCTTCCAGGGGTCCTGCCCTCACCCCCATCCGGGATGAGGAGTGGGATCGCCACTCCCCCCGGAGTCCTAGGAGGTGGGAGCAGGAGCCTCCCCAAGAGCGGCCAAGGGGTGGCTGGGGGTACGGGCGACCCCGGGCCCGCTCCGTGGATGCTCTAGATGACATCACCCGGCCTGGCTCTACAGAATCAGGAAGGTCTTCTCCCCCAAGTAGTGGGAGGAGAGGACGGGCCTATGCACCCCCCAGGAGCCGTAGCCGCGATGACCTCTATGACCCAGACGACCCTCGGGACAAGCCACACTCCCGAGATCCCCACTATGACGACTTCAGGTCTAGGAACCAATCTGCGGATCCTAGATCCCAGTACCAGCGATCCAGGGATCCGCGGGATGGTGGCTCCAGGTCCCGGGATCCCCAGTATGATGGACGGCTAGTTGAAGAAGCCTTGAAGAAGAAGGGGTCAGGGGAGAGGAGGAGACCCAGGGAGGAAGAGGAAGAGGAGGCCTACTACCCCCCAGCTCCTCCGCCTTACTCAGAGACTGACTCGCAGGCTTCCCGGGAGCGGAGGATGAAGAAGGTGAACCCCGGCTCTCCCCGACTTCACACCCTCCGGTGCGGCCCCTCTCCTCCAGCCCACCCCAGTTCACACCCTTCTTTTTCTTTCTTTGCAGAATTTGGCTCTGAGTCGGGAAAGTTTAGTCGTCTAACCCCACGTTTTGTATGTAGCTTTTTTATTTTTTTTTTAAGCTGGAATACTGATGAAGCTCCCCACCAAGCTTAATAAAATCTCTGATCACAAGTTCCAAGTCTAAGCTCTGTTTTGCTGTGCGAAGCGAGACACCCAGGGAGGAAGTCTGCCTGAGCCTGGAGTACGTGCCTCTCACCGCCTCCGCCCGGTCACTGCGTGCGCGCCGGACCGCGGCCCCGCCCCGACGTGCGCATGCGCCGCGCGGCTCCAGGAGCTCCGCCCCCGCCCAGGACCTACTTTACTGTCTCCAATCCCTAAGGCCCCGGCGACCTCAGCCCCACGTCCGGGTTTCGGGGCGTTCCAGCCGGGCCAGCGTTCCAGCGCTGAGACCCGGGGCGGCGCGCGCGCGTTCCCGCCCAGCAGCCCTCCGAGATAGCGCGCGCGCTCCCCGGGGCTGCCCTCCCCCTTCCCCGCGCGCGTCCACCCCGGGACCGCGCCGCCACCGCCGCGCGCGCGCAGCTCCAGTAAAGGAGGAAAAAAAAAAAAAAAAAAAAAAAAAAAAACCTTTTTGTAAATCAGTGAATACATGAATGTTCCATAAGAACACAGCTTCTCAACTACAAGCCCTTTGGACCAGAGAGACCTGACATCACTTATCCTCATGCTGGCAGTGAAAAGGATTTGCTTATGGGACAGGAGGAACAGTTTTCAGTGGAGAGACATATGCTCAGCTATTCT